GACGTTACCGCGACGGCGATACGTGATTTTATTTTACCGGAGCGTTTAACGAGAGAAAGGCGATCACATTTCATCTCATTAGCCGACACAACACGGTTACATCAATGTATAACTATCACGAACTCGTCAATATAAACCCAGAAAGCGGTTCCAAGCACGTTAATTAGCGCCGCGCGCCTTTTTTCGTTCCCTGTGAAAGTTCCTGGATGGAGTCGGCCGCCTTGAACGCGACATAAAGCGTATAATTTTCGACCTCCTAATCACGACTCGGATTCGGACAGTCATGACCTTAATGCTCTCTCGCATCTGCCGAACGATTTCCCACCGCGAACGCAAAATAGTGACGCTATCGATCATATCGAGCTCATTAGGCATATTTGCTAATCCGCACACGCAACATTCCCCGTACGTTAGGATGATGAATCGATCGAGTAGCCTCGATCTCGTGAAAACGACAGACCTAAAACGAACGCGCGACGGCCACCTTCTTCTCAATGAAGAACGTTAAACTTGACGTTCGACCTGACACAGTCGGCGCTTAAAAAGCAAACACCGTGATTGCGCCAATGTCCCGCTTCTCTAGATTGTAATCCAGCAGATTCGCGAGTCGCACGGTGCAACGTTCCGGGCATCAATTTTCAATCAAGCGAAATCTGTTAATCTCATGGAATAGGAGAAGTTAAAGTTCCTGTGACGATAACTATCAAATAATGGTGGTGCTTCGCTCGGCAGTTGTAATTACAGCGAGACGCTGTAGTTATATATTAATATTTTTTACGCGCGTCCCGAGATTCCTTAATCAGCCGATCATATAATTAGGACTGGGATCATAATTAGGATTACATTATACGGCGAGTGGCAGAATGCATGGAATGTGCAATCGACAATAAGCATAAGTGATGCGAAGCGATGTTGATTGTCCCTCGATCGAGGAATCCAGTACCGTTTGTGAGTTTTTTAATCTTCTGCATCGTATATATGTCGCATGTCGCATCTAAACGATCGTGACAGGGTGGAGAATTATAACGGAGGGGGAGAGGGGGACAATCTATAGCAAAGAAATCGGAGAAACTCGCTTGAGGTGATTTCTTCTGCGTTGCGATGCTCGTGTAGAAAAGATGTAGAACAATAATGGCAAGGGCTCGTGATATAACCGTATTTGTGACACGGAGCGACTCGCAGTCTGGATAAAATCGCTAGTTTTTCCCCCCTGGCGGTCGTGATTAAAATTCCAAGCATATATCCGCCTTGTTCTCCATTTCCTAGAAGACTCGCGCTTGGTCCCATCATATCCGCTTATCATTCCTCTTGTTGTATTTGTATATGAAGTTGTATATGAATTTGTGTATCGAGAGGAATTTCTTTTTCATATTGTTAAATAAGTAGGAATTATTTGATAAATTTTTATATTTACTAAATAGGAACTGTTATTACTTTCCTTCGACTGTATTGAAGCGAAATTTCTCAATTAAAATTTTTGTTTTTACATTTACTGAATTATTACGACTTCTAATAAGTCGTCGGAGGATGAAAGTATCGTGAGAATGTACTTACGAAAGTATGTATGATAAATATGTATAATGATAAAACATGAATATTTTAAATTTACCTGAATAGTTTCAAACTTCTTGTAATTATATATGAAGTAAAAGAGGTACGCAAAATTTAGCGGAACACAATCAGTGCTAAAGATGAAAGCAATTAGTCAAAAAAATTCGATCCAATCAAGTTACTGTACAGGAAACATCACTCCGGATGATGAAGGGAGGCTCGCGACTTTCTTTTGAAGTACTTCGCGCATGTCGATATTATAGGCGTATCTACTTTAAGAAGCAACTTTAAACAGCCGACCATGTTCATCGTAGAGAATAACGCGAGTAATTACGCGATCGGCAGGATCCATTAGAGCCTCGTCAGCTCGCTCGTCTTTATCGATGACATAAGAGAACTTTTATAGCACGAGGATTCCTGCCGTCATCCTTTACGCGCATTCACGTGCGTTCGCTTCACAACTATTCCCTCGTCTCTCATTTAAAATCATGTTACATGCCGACCTGGTGCGGCGACGATGCGCGGCAGCGATGCGGTACGAAATAAATTGCGCCTGCTTTACGGGACGAAAGCTACAAATGAAGACCGATGAAGAATTCACTGTGAGCCTAGAGATAGAATCTTCCCGGATCGGAGAGCCGCCACTTGTTCGTAATTTGCCGACACGCGTGGCAGAAATGCCACGATATCGCTGATCATTTTCATCGTGAGTACCGTTTAATGGAGCATACAACTGAACTCGCGGAGCTGAAGCTATATACGCGACAATACGTACGCGCAATACGCGTTGTTTCGACGAGTCATCGTCATCCGCCTCTCCTTTCGAGATTGGCGAGAGTAAGCAGCGAATGTTGAAGTACGTACAGGATAGTAATTCCGTTACCTGAAAGGGTAGATTAATATCTTCTTATTATTCTAACAGCGAAACATTGTGCCGACCTTATAATGCCGACTAAAAAAATTGCAACTTTAATTTATTTGTTCACTTTTATTATGCCTTTTAAACTAATCAGATTTCTTCACGACGAAGTTATTAAGGTACGTAATGCAGTCCTGCAGTAAGGCAGTCCTTATGAATTTTCGATATTTGCTTGATATTTCTTGAAATTGATAGCCTTTTTGTAGCCTCCAATAAAACATTCATTTATTATTTATACAAAGTTAAGCGTTTGTACAAGTGAAATAAAAATAATAAATGATTTATTATATCATTATTATTTATTATTATTAAATAAAATAAAATTATTACAATTTTTAAACTCATCAATTTTTAAGATTTTTACTTTATGAATTATCTTTCGCATTAAGAACATGATGTAATTGTAAAATACTAAATTAATACAGAGACTGATATATATTGGCGAAATTTGTCAAGAGAACATTTCGGTATGCCGCAAGCGAAATTTTTTTTAAGGTTAAATGTGAAAAGATAAAAAATTGTTATTTAAATTATTACATTTAAAAAATATTATTTAAATTTTTATTAATGTGTAATTCATAAAACGTTTTATTTAAAATTATATTAACTAAAATATATTACAATAAATAAAATTGTATTTAAATTAAATTATATCAAAAAGAAATAATATAATGGAATCTATGTTTTTTTATATCTAGGAATTTCTAAAATTAAAAAATATTTTTGGAATATCAAAATTATATTAAACAGAAATATTAATAATATTATATAACATTTGTTATCAATTTTACTATCAATTTTAAAAAAGACTTTAAAGAGGGACCATAGTTCTCCTTGTGAATCTATATATTATATATATATTATATATGTCAGTGAATTTATCTGACATATTTAATAATATAGCGTAAACCAACGAAAAACTATTGATTCACGGAATTATATACGTGAATATTCTTTTACAGTAATAATTATTTTTATAATTTTGTTTGAGCAGTGCAAATGTGATGCGCGTGAATCGAAATAAATCATATTTCACGTCGTGCAACAAAACTCACAAAAAACCAAATAGTACAATTCACCTTGTTATTATTACTAACTTACGTGGACATTACGCAGAAATACAACTACATATCAATAATAAATATGAATAAAAATGTAAATATTCAATAGATGTGTAATTTATACGCCGTGCCTAGAAGCTAATTAATTGCGGATGTTTCCGCTAATGGCGGCGCGGTTATGGCTCACTGTTTTCCTCTCATTATCATCCTAAATACAGTACAAAATCATCACACAGAACGTTGAGGATTTCTGCCTGTCACGGATCCGTTATGTACCGGTAATTTTTCTCTTCGTAGACACGGCAACCTTTACTTCGTTGTCGACCTCCGGCCTTTACCTATTTACTGCCTATCACCGTGTCGTACCCCCTCCCCCTTCCCCCGCTAATACTAAATTAAATACTGTCCAATTAGATCCCGTCTGCACTAAAAACTTTAACTTCTTCGTACGCATATTACTTCTATATCGTATAAACTACGTATAAAAATGTTTGCAATCGCTTCGTATCAATTACATCTAATTTGATTTAAGTTTCAGCTTTAACTTCAGTGTATCCTTAGCTTTAATTGTGTCCTGAAACGAGATTCCAAGAAAAACTGCATCGATCTGATAATAAGTAAACTATCATGAGTTTTTCAAACAATCACTTTCGTATGTAAAATCACTTGACCTCCTTCTAAATTTAATTTTATGTAAAGAGGACAAGTTCAGAAATTTACGATCAATGTATATCTCATGATAATTTACTATGACATCTCAGAGATTCGACTGTCACATTCTAACTTGAATGAATAGTAAAGAGTAATTAAAAATCATTTTCAAAATACGCGAGTGCAAAATAAGAAAAGCCAATGTTTCATAATTCTCTTTTATGAAATATATATATTCTCTTTTGTTGATCAAGAAAGAATATAAAACTGAAGATTTTAACTTTTTAAATATTTTGTTGAAAGTTTAATTCTTCTACACTGGCAATCAGAGAAAAAGATAACAACTGTTGGTAGCAACTATCTAAGTTTTATAAGTAGAATTAAACTACATACGTAGTTAAATAATTTATTTTATAGTTATTGCAACTATAAAATAATTTATTTACACTCACACAGTAATTCTAATATAAAACTTATACAATTATTGCTCATATAATTGCTGCCGCTATACTTTTCTCTGATTGTAAGTGTCTTCGAGATTTAATATATATTTTGCGATAGCTCATCGTACAAAGTATTCGAATCAGTACAGAAATATATCAACAAACTGTACTTTTGGCATTTTCGTGAATTCCTTTAAATAATAAAAAATCTTTGATTTTTCCTTTCCTATTAGATGACTCTCCAATCAGATGAATTCGGAAATGAGATACTTGAGTCGCAAACTTATTCGTGAAAAATAATTTGAACTGCATTAATACTTGTAGAATGTCAAGCTGACGGTATCATGCTGATTGAAACATCATTCCTGATTTCAGACGAACATGCACGCGTCTTTCCCATATGACGGCGGACGCAGTAGTGGCGGAGGCGGCGGTGGCGGAGGCGGCGGCGGCGGCGGCGGTGGCGGCGGTGGAAGGGGCGTCGAATATGGCGCCGTACGTCGTCCTGACGCCCTCCTACCGCCTCCGGGCCTCGACCAGACCGACCTCGTTCTACACAGCAGCCTCGTTGACGACCCCCAGGTGAGCGACGATGTACGTAATCGCAACATATTTTCTCTATTATCATCCCTCGACGCATCTCTTTTGATGACGTTCTTGCCCGCTGAGGATAAGATTGCCACGCGGGATGTGCTTCCGCAAACGGAAGCGTTGTGGTTACTGAAGATCTGCTCCGAAATTACGTACATTTTGCGCGGGGCGATTTTTGACCGTGGCTTTGCACTCAGGATGTTTAAAGTCTTGTCAGTTTTGGAGATATAAGATATTTGTGGATATTTGTATTCTTTCTCCTCCTGACACTTTTATCAAGAAATGTGTACATTTAACACATGATTTATGTATAACTATAGAAGCTTAGAAATAAATGCACATATTTATCGATAAATCTGAAGCGAAATGAGAAGCAGTAATATCGTAGCCTTTTTTTTAAACAGAATTTATTTTGATAGATTTTAGATTTAATTGTTAAGATATAAAATGGAGAAAAAATTAAGAGAAGTTAAGTTATAATTTTTTAAATTATCTCTCGTGATTAATTTCGTGAAATAAATAATGTTTGTGTGTGTGTGTCGATTTCTTTTGGATTAATCTGCTTTTTTTTTGTAAAGCAGTTATGTTAAAAAAGTTTTAGCGTCCGTTAAATAGAATGTCAGTCGCTTGTTACAATGCGAGACGGAATGCTGCGAAACATACCATACTTTGCTGTGGTCGAAAATATTTTTCTTTGTCTTAAACAAGCACATAACCGTGTAGTCGATTTGCTGTACGCAAAAATATTCGTGAAAAAGAAATAACTAGTGTATTTCTCGGTATAAATAATGTTAAATATTTTATGCTTACAATACTTTTTGATTTTTATTATGAATTCTTATCGAACAAAAAATATATATTAAATGTATTAAAAAATTGCGCACTATCTCTAAATCACAAATCTATTCTTTGTTGTGTGAATCATAAATCAATCAATTCTTCTTGCGTTTAATTCGGTGTTAAATACAACGATGTTGTGATTATATAAAAGATTTAATATTAAGAATCTGAAAAATTAATTAAATTAAATTAAATTAAATGATAAAACTAAATATAAACTCATCAATTTTATAGGTGAGATTTTTTTATAGATGAATTATATTTTTTACAAGAATGACATAATATTTAATATAAAATGATTTATATTTAATATAAAATTAAAAGAAATATTTCATATAAAATTTAATGTTATATATTGAAAGGGTCAATTTTATTTAAAAATATACAAATTTTTTAATTCATTTTTTTATTTTTAAAAATCTTATTATCTTTTTTCAAAAATTGTAATTACATATAAACAAAAAAAGAATATATAATATTAAGAAGCTTGATGTTAAATTTGATTATTTTTTTATGTTTTAGAACACAAACGTGGACGATGGAGGGTTCATGAACGACCTGCCACTATTAAAAAGTAAGTAATTACGAAAATACGTATCTGTATATATTCCAGATTTTGACAGAATCATAAAACTGCTGAATTGTAAAATTTTTAGTATTACTCCTACTGGATATTTGTCAAAAGAAACAAAGGGAGTCTAATGCTATGTTAAGCATCAGATGCATATCTCACGATAACAGTCTATCGTACCTCTTGCACAAATGTCCTTCGAATTTCGACCTGTAAGTAATTTTACACCGCGCGTAACACAAAGCCAAGATCCCGCGATTCGATTTGAAATTTATTCAATGTGGATAAATTTACGCGTTGCATAAAGTGCAACGCGCGCTGCTTCGAAATAACGTGGCACTGGCATAATCCCAACATATAATAAAACGGCCACTGTGCGACCGGAAATATAAAGTAACCGCACCAACGAGACCTGTCGCCCTTAATTAAAATTTATCTCTCTCTCGCTCTCCGTCGTGTCAAGGGCAAGTGATCAGATTTCTAACTGCTTGTGAAAATAAACCTACGACTCTATCTCTTTTCCTTTGCGCGCGTAAAAGTGACGCAAAGGGCCCGGTGAGCTCTTATGCGAAGGACCGTTTCTCTTGCAATATCGATTGATCGCGAAAGAGATCGTAAGAAAAATTGCAAATGTTGAATTGCAATACGATGAATTATCTACGGATTCACGCATGCACGATAAAATTTAATCTCTCGGTTTCTTTCGTGGAAAGTCTTCTATATAAAGTTATATCTTGTATAGATATAACTGTATGATATACCTATAAAGATTAATCATCGAGATATAAATGTGAATATATTTAGCTTTGTGTCTAATTTTTTTTCTACGTTGCAAAATATTATCTAATACCGTGTAATAAAATAGATTTTTTACTCGCTCTGTTCTTTATAGAAATCTAATACTAGCCAATTTAATATTGACAAATTTATTACTGAAAGGCTGTAATTAATTATTTATCTAGAGTATTAAAAGGTCAAAGTGCTTTTAATACTTAAAATAAGTAATTAATTACTTTCTTATTAAATTAGCCAGTATTAGATTTCTGTAAAGATACGTATTTGTGAGAATTATTTTTCTCAGTCTTCATGAGACTTACACCTGTAGATGAATTCATGACTTAAATTTGTTGAATGATCTGTCAGTTCAAATATTTTTGAAGATGCATCGCGAATAAAATTCGTGCCTAAAATTCTATATTCTATATATCGCAAAATGCTCTCTCTAAAAAATCTTTGGATTAAAATCTAACTCTAAAGAATGAAATTTCACTCTTAAAAATTGACAATTGCGCCATTCTTTTTCAACACTGGCTCAATTGTTACTCTTTAGATTCCAGTCCAAAGCTTTTAGAGAGTAAACGCAGACTCAAAATAAAGACCTATAGTCTGAACTAAACTATTACGTTAACTTCTGCGCTGTAAGGATTACATTAACCAATGATGGAACAGCAAAGAGTAACGGAAATGAATTGTATTTGCTCATTTGTCAGCAAGAAAACATTTTTTATATTTTTTCATAAAAAATATCAGATACATCACAAGTTCCTCTAACCTGACTTAAATAAAAATATCAACATTGTCACAGTTGAATTCATTGCGTGCGGTTGATTTGCATCTACGTGTATCTTGCGTACGGTGATACGTCAATTTGTATATACATTTGTGAATTACGTTTTGTGATTTGCGAATTATACGAGAACAGCTTAAGATTTCGCACAACCATGACGCATGATTTCGCAATTATGTAACTTCGAGAAAATTACGCAGGAGAAAGGATGTGTTACGGGACCATGATAGAAGTAGATTAAGGAAACTTGTGCCATGCCTAATTTCGCGAGAGCCCCGCCTCTGATTGGTTCATGTCAATACGAAGTCGCGTCTTGCGAAAGTATTACTCTCACCCGAGATCAAGATCGATCGTATCCGATCAATAAACTGAACAGAGAGGACTCTCGAGAGTTTGTCTTGGAGGTTACACTCTCTTATGGCTGAAATATATATAACTTTCGATCTATGAATTAATTGCGAAATCATGCTATATATTACCATCTAATATGGTAGCGGCAATTTTCGTTGCTTTAACCGAGAGGATGTCAAAAAATGTGTTGCATGCTTTCTCCCGTACTTTAGAAACTAAAGTGAGAGGACCGTGATTTGTTTAATTTTATTCTGATATTTCAATTTAATGTGAAGATATCATGGATACCATGAAATGAATAAATCAATTAATCGATAATATTTTATGAAAATTCTACGATCGTTATCAGAAAGCATGATAGTGTCTTAAGGCTAAGATAAGTACAGCGTTGTTGTGTTAATAATACTAGAACTATCGATTAACATATATCTATTTTATTATTTATATACTCTATTATATACTATTTATATTTATATTTATATCTACTTATATACTGTATTTGAAAAAAGGAAGAAAAAGGAAAGTAAATTGGTCAATGTAATTACATATTACAATTAATTACATATTGCAAAAAAGGTCACGGAAAATCTCAGAAAATGCGCCGTTATAATTGTTATAAATTTGATAAAAAATTACAAAACACATTTTGACTTCTTTGATAGTTCGATTAAATTCGATAGAGGATCTGGTTACTTCGATATAGTGATTCAGCGGCGTTATTTAGGAAATGTATGATTGTAGGAAACAACGACTTTTAGAGCCCACATACGCGTACGGCCCACAAACGTATTACGCGACGACCCTCGTTTTCGACGACGTTAATTCTTCTCGCCTCTTCGGATCGTCGCATCACACAATAGTCGAGAACCTGGGACGCGTGGAATCGTGTACGCGCTGCGAGAGGAGGTGTGAAGGCAAAAAGGAAGAAAAAAAGAAATACAGTGCGTGCCCGCGGGCGGATCGGATTTCGCTCATTGTCATTGTAATTTCTTGGCGGGGTGTAGTTTTCGGGGCGTTCCTCACCACAGGGGTATTACCTACAGATGGTTGTTTGTTCGAGTGTCACCGAGGGTTATTATATGCCTCGTTACTCGTCCTGCGACGGCTTATTTGGCCGGTCTTTTTCTATTCCGTTCTTCTTTCTTCTCATTCTCCGTAACTGTTCTCTCTTTTTTTCCTTCACTCTTGAATTTCGCGTTTCGTGCGTTCTTCTTTTCCTCTCTGTGAATCTTTTTATTTTATTTTTTCTTTCCGAAACCGGTTTTTCCGAAATACGCGTGAGATATCACACATCGATCACATATTATTTAAATAATTATTTAAATATCTAAACTAAATATAGGTATATTAAACACATGTTTGGATAATTTTATCTAGTAATTTATATCGAAGGGAAGTAACGTTGTAATTTCAATTTGCTTTTTTTTTACTTTACTCAGTTAAAATATCTTCAATTTTTTCATTGAAATTGGCTTTATCTAAAAATTCATTCGTAGTAACTTTCTATGTAAATGACAAGATGCAAATTACACTTGCTCTCCATTGCAATCTTATCAATAAGATCCTAGCATAAATCTCTCTAAATACAAGGTCCCAAAACTGACGATAAATGTTTAAAAAATTTCTTTGTAACTTTTTAAAACAAAAAGTCTAATATGAAAATGCTCAGATTATGATTATATATATATATTAAATAGAAAGAGTACTTTTTCGAACTTTATGCCTTTGAAAATTACAAAATTCAGCACCTTTACACGGATCATCTTGTCATTGAGTAAAACTTTAGCCCTTGTCATTCGTAATTTTTGAACTCTTTCCATTTGAAATCACAGCTTCGATATTTTTCTCTTAAAATATTACAGAGAATCTGTTTATGAAATATTTATTATCACTTTTGGGACCCCCTGTATAATATACATATAATATACTAATATATAGTTAACAATATATATGTATATACATATATATATATATATAATATCGATGTATCATATTATATGATATTATATTAGCTATGAGCAGTTCTGCTTCTCGGAAGCCGGTTATACAATTATTGCGGCTTACCTTGGCTCCGTCACTTGATGACGGCGACGTGCTCCAGTTTAGTTTCGCCACAAGATCTCGAGGACGGACAAATTCTTTTACTAGCGATAACGCTCTACGAAATTTTAATCATACAGTTACAACAGTTGAAGCAATTGACAACCATTGTTTTGGTTACATAAATTTATTCTTGAAAAACAATTTATTTCGTGCGCGATTGAGACCGAAAATAATTTAAAAGTCGATATCTGTTTTCGAGAAAAAAGAATTTTGTAAGTCGTGCTGTAGTGTAGTTCGAAAGAGAAAATTAAGATTAACAGTCTAAGCTGTTTAAAAAAAAAATATTGATGTACTTCTTTTTCAAAAATTATTACGAATAATATGAAGGCGTACCCAAAAGTACAAAAGTCTTTTCTCACTACGTATCGTATTTGTTAATTTACTTAAGGCAACAATGTTCTACAATGTGAATTTGTACGGATCAATTTATTATCCACGCGGCTCAGCCGTGAGAAGAATCAAAAGTAATTAATCACTCAAAGAAGGTCAACTAACGATACAGCGTTAAACCATGCGACTTTAATGGTTCTCTTCTATTCGCACTATTCAATATTTCCACTTTGCCGCTTCTCGCGAGCCAGCGAATGATAATCATTCTTTATTCCCATCGATCCTACTTGCGATTAACAAATTGGCAGATTATGATAACAATCTTCACCCCTCGCACATTTGCCGTAAATATGTCTTTTAAACATACGGTCATGAAAATTCCGTTCAATTCAAATATTAATCATGCAGAAGCGTTGAGAGAAAAATACACTGATCGCTTCCAAATTTCGAGTACTGAAGAAGTGTGAGTGCCTTTCTTATTGTTTGCGGGACCGTTTCGCGCGTGGTCCCCTCCGAATGGAGGGCATCCACCATCTTTGTATAAAGGCAGCTAAACTCCTAAAATCAGCCCCTAATGAAATTAACGATCGCCACGTTGCTTGTAGTTGCCCCGGGGGCCAGGTGGATCCCTGCCTGGCAGAAGCCCTCACGG